TACCATCAGATTTACAACAACATCCATTAATTTAATAAAAAAATTAACATGCACAGCAAATATAATGATAATTTAATGTTTAGCATATCAACTATACTCTAATAAATGCAATATCTAAAATGGACCTATGGATTGATATTTCTATGAATTAAATCTATACATAAATGGTTACTTCATATTTGTATGTGATCACATGTAACTTCTAGAAGATTTTTCTTTGAAATCAAATATATATATATATATATATATATATATATCATGTACTATATTGCATAAATTTCATAATCTCCATTGCAACTAAAATATAAAGGACTCATCAGTCAATATATGCAAGACATAATTTTAATAATTATTACTTTTTATTAAATTATCAAATGACTTATTTGCAATGGCCTTATGAATCTTATCTATGGTTGCCCTACTCCACGCCCAAGGAGATTTGGAGGAGAGTAATAGGTTTCTATTTTTAATTAAATATGACTGCTTATGAAATTTAAGAGAGCGCTTACATAGTTTTTGTCATTACCCGTAAGTTTTGCGTCGTGGTGCAAGAGAGTCATAGTCTTATTACTCCATGGTCTTTGCAGATATTTAGTATGCACCATATCATGACTTTGAGAATTTTCCCTTATCCCCAATGGCTACAAGATGGTATCTTTGGGCCGCTTGAAGGATTTCTTATGAAAAATAATGGTAAACATTATTATTTTGATGACAAAATTTAGGAACCAAACAACCATAATAATTTCCACTGCCTAAGGAACTGCATTTGAATATGGCAACTCATTAAGCCAAACTTAAAATAAAAGCACATAGTCAATTTAGTTCTTATATCAAGATTTTGACCCATTCAGACACTCCAGAAAAAAAAAATAGCATTTCAAGCAGCAAAATGGTGAATCGCTTGAAGGATTTCTTATGAAAAATAATAGTAAACATGACTATTTGATGCATGACAAAAGTTAGGAACCAAACAACCATAATAATTTCCACTGGCTAAGGAACTGCATTTGAATATGGCAACTCATTAAGCCAAACTTTACAAAACCAATTGACTAAGGCTTCGTTTGGGACGGCTTTTTTATTGCTTCTTAAAATAGTTTCCTAGTACAAAAATTAAAAATTTTGTACTAAAAATCTGCTTTCAGAAGCAGAAATAAAAAACCGTCCCAAACGAAACCTAAGCCTTCTCATTTCAAATGATATATAAGAGTCTCGCCCTATTGATTCATACCAATGTCTTGAGATCTATCTCTATATTTTATATTATTGCTCTCATTATGAGGAAAATATATATAGTCAATTTAATTTTATATTAAAATTTTGACCCATTCAGACACTCAAGGAAAAAAAATAGCATTTCAAGCAGCAAAATGGTGAATTTATGCTGGAACGAATCAACAGGTAATCTACCGACAAAGGCAAGTTAAAAAAAATTAGAGAAAGAACCATAGGAATTACTAACCGTTTTTTTTTTTCTCCAATACCAAATGACGTATTTTTTTCTGTATCAAGCAACTCTTTTTAAAATCTCTAACTAATAATATGCCTACTTTATATAAAATATGATATAATTTACAAAATTAGCATCCTTCTACCTCCATTATTCAAATTCTTTCTCAAAGATCAAAATTCAAGCAAAACCCTAACCCTAATTTACAATTATTTGATCGTAACACATAAATATATATTTGATAAATAATATTTCTATCATCAATATAATATAGATTTCCATTCTCAAAGAAAAAAGACATTGTTAATTATGTTGTATATATTCCACTCTTTGATTGGCTTTAATCAGCCCGAAGAATGTTTTCATGCATCAATGCGGCAAGTGGTTGGGTGCGACTATGGGCCCCCCACTTACTGTCTGCCGGAAACTTGCTCACAAAGCCAACCAAACCACTTATCGAACAGTACAAAATATAAAATAAAATAAAAATATAAAAAACATAAATTAAAAAAAAAAAATGGTGCACCGAATAACTTTAGCTAGACACAGAAAATTTTGGAATTTCTCTTTCCTATGCATCGCTTTAATTAATGTGATCCGCTCGTTTATTCCTATCCTACATAATTATATCCAAAGGCACGTTCCTTCCCTTTGGGTGCCACGCAGTTCCTCTCTCTTAGGCAAAACACCTGCATCAATTAATATAAATTATACTATTCCAAAGCCAATGGTCCAGATTGTTTTCAGTAGCACTGAACTGACCCACATGCTCATCATTAAGAGAGATTATTCTATGCGAAAACCGGATGTAGAACGTTGTTTAGAGACCAACCAGAATGTGTCACATCAATGATATCGAGTAAGCCGGGGTACTGAGTACAGAGTGACATCGAACATTCTGATTGGCCTCCAGACGGCGCTCGGCATCCGCATAGAATAATTTCACCATCATAAAGGCTTTTTTGAGGAGAGCTTTCTTACTATTTTGTTTTTTTCAGATCGCAACCCCAAGTTCAATTTAGAGCTTTCAAAAAATTTAATTTCTTCATAGCAGCTTCACAACTAACTTTACGAAAAATTGCAGCTGTCCCAAACGGATCCTACGTTAATTAGAAGGAGAAAGAGAATCTTATGGAATAATATATTTGTATAAATTATTGTTGCATGAAGCAATCAATCATGTCTCCATGTGAAGAAGGAATTGATGCCTTGAGCTTCTTGCCTTCTTACTCAGTTCCATCCATCTAAGTTTGATAATTAAGATCCTGCTTGCTTGTTTTATATACATGTCAATGGCAGAAGCCATAGGGAGAGCTTTGGATTGGGTCGGTTGCCTCGGCGGTGGGGACACGAGAAGAACAAAGCATTATTACAATTACTACGCTCCCAACACTACCAGCAGCAACACATATCAATACGATATTAGTCGCGGCCGAGGCATAATGGGCAAGGGCAAAGGCCGCCCGCTCTCTTTGCAGGTTATTTTTCTTTTCATGCTGCCTGCACTGAATTTAATTTAGAGCTTTTTTGGGATTTTTTTTTATTTTTTATATTTCTTTAGTATATATTTTAACTATTTTAAGTTATATTTAAAATATTTTTTAAAATAGCTATCATTACGGGCCGCCGCCGCGACGAGCAAAAACCATAACTTGGAACCATCTAAATATGTTTTTGATGTACTAAAATGTTTATTTGAAAATATGCTATTGATTATGTAAATAAAGGCTTGCATTTCCTATTTACTATTCCTGGGCTACTGTAAAGGCTACATGAAATATTACAAGTTGGGACAATTAAATAGGACTCAAGCTTGTTGCGTATAGCAATATATTTTTGTTTTTGCCATTAATTATTTGTTTGTGATATACTTTCATTATATATATTTACTTAGTTGTTAATACTCTATCCCAGCTTGTGCTTTATTTTGGATTGTTTTCTCATTATTTTTTAAAGTAAATTTTTAGTACAAAAATTTTAAATTCAAAATATTTTTGTACTAAAAATCTTCTTAGAAAACAGTAAGAAAGTTATTATAAATAAATCCTTAGACTCTATTTGGGATAGTTTTTTTATTTGCTTTGTTTCTTAGATAGTAATCATAATTTTATTCAATTACTTTCTTATTATCTTTCAGAAATTTCTGTAATAAAAAGCTAATTTTTTGCAATTATAATAATGAAGGTATTTTTTAACAATAATTTCTCAATCAGCTTTGTAAAATGTTGCGATCACCCCAATCAGATCTTTAGAGTCTGTTCGAGACGACTGCATCATTTTATAAAGTTGATTGTGAAGAAAATAACTTCGCTACTATAACTGCAAAATTTAATGAAAAAAAAATGATAAAACAACAAAAAGGCAGTAGCCGAATGAAAGTATGGTTGCTCTCTGAAAAGTAAAATGACTATAAAGATGTCTCAAATAGGTCCTTAATTTAATTTTCTTTCAACTTTGGAGATGTAATTATTCTGGCAAGTTAAAATTTTGTATATGCACCTGTGCTATAATGTTTGAAAATTTTTTTTTTTTTTTGGCAGATTGTGGAGCTTAAAGTAAGGATGTGTACGAAATATTCAAATATAAATTCTCAAAATTAGAATACATTTATTATTATTATTATTATTATAAAAGGATATATTCCAATTTATTTTGTACCGTTGCTAAAAACTTTTCTAACTTAAAGTATTTAATTTTAAATTTTGAGCTTTTTTATCTTCTAATTCTAACATAAATTGTTATAGGGTAATCAACATATTTGTTTCTCATTTGATTATAAGAAAAGCTTAACTAGCCCACATTTTTTATTGAAAATTTTATCGAATGCGACTTTGTTTTTATTGGAAATTTTGCGGGATGCAATAATGGCATGAGAAGGGCATAAATATCAATTCACAAGCACCATTTATGTTCCACACGAAGGTTTTGTTTGGAACAATTTTCTTACTGTAATCCTAATTTTCATTTTGGCACAAAATTTTTTTGTAGTAGAAAAATAATTGAAGTAGTAAGAATGCTATCCCAACAAAACCTTAAAGTCATAATTTCTAATTTTGATAACATTTATTTCAAGAATATATAATTAATAGCATGACTAAAAATTTTTGGGACCAGATATTATTGGTTATTCATATTTTTATATCAATATTATTAATTTTTTTAAAGAAGTGTGATTAGCAAAAAAAAAAATGCTATATGCTTAAAAATTTTTCTTTTGGTCACAATTAAATAATTGTGACTAAAATTTGATATTTAATCACATATTATAATAAGCAGACTGTTTTTGGCACTCTTCAAAAATAGCATTGACTCAAACTACTTAATTTGATTTTGATACCTCTTATTAAAAATATTTCTTTCTACATCATTATCCTTAGTATAGTAAACAATTATTTCCAACTACTGCACATAGCTTAAGAACTTCTACAAACAAATTAATCTAGAGAGATCTATCAACCTGATAATTAAATGTTAAAAGCTTAATTAGCATGTAATATTAAATAAATTGCCTTTTATACATAATCATCAACTTATAAAGTAATATTGCAAAAACATAAATAAAGGTGTGGACTCGGTGGAGGTGAACTTAGCATTGGGGAAGGTGACAGTGACGGGATACATCAACCGCAACAAGGTGCTGAAAGAAGTGCGAAGAAGCGGGAAAAAGGCAGAGTTCTGGCCAAATCCTGACCTCCCTCTCTTCTTCACGAACTCCACCAACTACTTTCATGACGAGAAATCCTACCGTGAGAGCTATAATTATTGGCGCCACGGCTACAGCAATACTGACAAGCACGGCAACATTCCAATCAACCTTCGTGGAGAAGATCGAGTAAGCAACATGTTCAACGACGACAATGTTAATGCCTGCTCCATCATGTGATATTGGCCCTATAACCGTATGATCGCCATTGGAGGGTTGTTGATCATGGAGATGATGCAGGGATTTACATATGCCACTGAATTCTTTTGTGTATCTAATACATAAATCTTTAGAGTGTTAAATATATAAAAACTTAAGAATTTAGTGGTATATATGTAAATCTCCTTGTTGTAATTAAAGAAAATGCTATAAATAGGCACATTGTGCTTATTTGAGGACTTTAAGAGTTTCTTAGGCTGTAATAGTGTGATGTGTGACTCGTGCTTGTAAATGCGTTGTCGTTATCTTGCTTTTGTGTAAAGAGAGAGAGAGAGAGAAAGAAAAAGCTATGTTTGTAATGGTTTGGATTTATGATAAAAAATTTTAATATCTTGATTGGGAATTAAGGGAAGAAAATCAGAAGATTTAAATGATAAAAAAAGGAATGGATATTTTTCCTTTTCTTTTGAGTGGTTTTTTTAAGAGATAAAACAAAATTATTCACCTAATTATTGATTGAGAGTTCAAAAAAAATAAAAAGTTAATATTATAATTAATTTGATATATCTAATATTATAAAATAAAAATATATCAGAATTTTTATTTAAATAATAATTATTTATGCATTATTATAAATTGCGGAATGAACTTTTTTAAATGAATATTTATTCAGACTGTAAAATATAAAATGATGAGAGTTTTGTGGTATGTATATGTAATATTATATATAGGAGGTAGGATTACATTTTTTGTACTCCACCTCACACCTGATTAGTCATTAGAATACTTGAGCTTTGCTTGGGACATCTTTCATAGTGCTTCTTAAAGCAATTTTTAAGTACAAAAAATTTTCAATTAGAAAAGCTGCTTTAGAAAACAATAAGAAAGGTGTCCCAAACAAAGCCTTATAATTTTTTGGGCAGCTTAATTACTAATTGGTTTGAATAGACGGTTGATGTTGATTCCCTTATTTGTGGATCATTTATTGGATATTTGAATGTTTTAATGATATCAGAATTTAGCGATCTTAGACTCATTAGATTCTTCTCGTGGAGCCGCTCGATTCGAATATAAGCATGTCAGGTTTGGAAACCGTTTGGTAATTCAAATTATGGTTTGAACCTTTCAAATGAGCTCCAGATCTTTGATTTGAACCCATTTGGGCTCGGATGGAGTCGAATTTGGTGTCGTTGGATTCGTATTTCTGAGATGATTAATTCGACTAGCTATAAATTTGCTGAAATCAAAGTTCACATGATTCCAAATTCAATTTTTGAAGTTTCTAACTTGATTTTGCCTCGATTGATCAAAATAATTTTTTGATGATATATCAACCTTCAAATTTCAGCATTTGATTCAATCCAAATCGCTCTATCAGGATTAGCAAACTGTTATCAATATATACACACAAATTTCAAAAGATAACATATGCAAGTACTTAACTAATCATCTAAATGACATTAAGTACAGTGTCAAAGGAAATAATTTCTTCCATGATTTCCTGAACTTAAACCGGTTCCCTCTTGCTGCTGCAGCTGGCTCTGAAGCTACTATCTCTTCAATCTCAGTCTCCTCTACCATAGTTTTATTTTCAGCCTCTATTTCGTCCCAAAACCGAGCTTCCCTTCTCTTCTTCCTTATAGCATAAAGAACATCATCTCTGTTACAAATTCCCCAAACTGTCACCTTTTGCTGGTAATAATCTACATGAACTGAATGTATTCCTGCATGATCCATGCAACAATTAACATTACAAATTAATCCTCAAGCTCCATGAATTGGTCATTAGAATTTTTATTTTTATTCATTTTTTATTAAAAAAGTGGCAATTGAATACTGTTTTGTTAGGTATATATCTAAAAAATTAAAACTATCTTTTAATTGACAAACTTTATTCAAGATTATTGCAAAGTTATTAGTCTAAGGAGCAAAATCTTACTAAATTTTAACGTCAAAGGTTTATGAAAAATAAGCTAACCCAGAAGTATAAAAAAAAATTATGGAACCTCTGAGATGAGACAAGGCCTTCTTAACCTTCTTCTCGCATCCAAATGAGTAGAGAGGAACCTTCATCTCAACATACTGAGGCGACACGTTCTTGCCGGCGGCCGGAACAATTTGCAGGTTGGCCATTGCTCTTCGCCGGTGATTAATTTGGATATATATATACAGTTAATTTTCAGCACATATAGAGGAAGAATGATCATAGGTTGGTCTTATAGCTAGCTTCAGTAAGTGGATTCCATGTAATAGATAGAAAGGAAAGGGACAGGATTGCGTGGATTGGCTGCGGTCGTGTTCTTCTTTTTCTTACTTTTTTGTTTAGATCTATCTTGTTGTAGGGGATGAAGGATTGGTCGTGTTGGTTGAGGATAGTATTTGTAGCTGGTGATTTTTTTTGGGGGGAGGGGGACATTTAGGTTAACGAAGGCAAACTCACACGACACATCAAATATGTAAAATTCGATACCAAGAGATCTCTTGGTAGTCAAAGCTCTCAACCAACATATCCAAGTGACTTGCGTGGTTGGTGATTCTTTAATGGGGAGATGAATTAGTAAGTCATTGCTTATCCTTTTGCTATGCAAGACTCGATACAAAGAGATCTCTTGGTAGTCAAAACTCCCGATCAACATACTCAAGTGACTTGCGTGGCTGCTGATTCTTTAATGGGGAGATGAATTAGTTAGTCATTAATTGCTTGTCCTTTTGCTTAGTTTAAAGCTTTGTTTTTTTGCTTTGAGGATGGAGTTTTAGGGTTTGGTTCCCATGTGAGATGTTGTGTAAAGTGGAGTTTGCTTTAGCTTTTCAGACTAAGCAATGGATCAAAAGGGTCAGTAAGTCAATGTGAGTGAGTAGGAGAGAGAGAGAGAGAGAGAGAGAGAGAGAGAGAGAGAGAGAGAGAGCTCACAACATTTACACTATACTTCAATTAGTTTACTGTATCATAATGCAACTTCAATTATTTTCTTTTAGAAATCCAAATTTCTTTCATAATTATGCCTAACTGTATTAACTCTCACAAATTCAAAGTGTGATGGTTCAACATTCTACTTCTACATTTAACCTTACAATAATCAGTTCATTGTACTTCCTCTGTATAACAAAGTTTTCCTCATAGAAAGGCACAATAACTTGAACTTAACCTCCTAACTAAATTTAATCCATCATGGTCTGAATTTGTAAATACTTCCCAGTTCTAAATATTGATCCTTCTTGAAAGTAATCATCATATCTTGGGCTTAACTTAAGGTATTGAAGGATTTTGTACATTACTTGTAAGTGGATTTTAGGCTCTTCCTAAATTGTCTTAAGCATTTATTTTAATTGACAACGATTCAACTTAGGCTTTATTTGGGAGGCTTTCTTACTGCTTCTTAAAACAAATTTTCACTACAAAAAAGTTTTTTTTTTTTACTAGACATCTGCTTTAAGAAGTAGTAAGAAAGCTGTCACAAATGAATTCATAATTTGATTACAAACAATCAAGATATATAACTTTTTTCTTTTATAAATTCGCTCATATTAGTATTAGAGAAGACGTGATACCTAAAAACATGAGTTGAATCAAAACTAATATTGTAACACTAAAAATAAGTGGTAAAGATAAAAAATAATTTTAGGCAACAATATCACTCAAAAGATAGCACGCCTTATAATTTGTAATGGCTTTGCACCCACGTAATAAAAAATATAGGATAGATTACTTTAAAAAAAAAAAAAAAAAACTCATGTCTAATTTTGCATGTACTATATATCATTTGACATATATGGTTTAGAAGTTTCTTATGTGTAACATATATTCTATTTTTTAAAGAACAGCTTCTAGTGTAGCATTCAAAAATTAGGCTTCGTTACATACAGTTTTTTTATTATTTTTTAAAATAATTTTCTAGCATAAAAATTTTTAATTCAAAAAAACTTTATACTAAGAAGTTATTTTATAAAGTAGTAAGATCGAACACTGTTCCAAACGAAGTCTTAATTATTGATAAAATCAATACCATTTTTTTATTTTTAATAATGTTAATTTACTTTCGAAGAGAGCAAACAAATTATAATTTTTACTTTAATTAAGTGATTAATAATTTAATGGTTGCATGAGCTAATGCATAAGTTTAATATACTCTATTTTTTTAGTTTCATAAATAAACAAACTCTAAGTAATATTCATGTAATTTTTCCTTTTTTTAAGCGAGATAATGCTAGTGGTATGCAAGAATTTTTAAGATTAGGAAGTACTCCCACTACTTAATTAGATAAACTATGATTTGAATAAAATATTTTGAGAGCACATATAATTGTAGAAGAAATCAAATATGTATTTTAGTTGAATCATAAAAATAGGAATATAATCAATTTATTTTCATAGAAAAAAATCACTTAAATTGAATGACATTGATTAAAAAAAAAAAACTCACTTTAAGTAGCGATAGCCGTGGACTGTCTTATCTTTTGCACCTTACATCCACTGATTTGTGGAATTGTTGATTGTTTCCTTTTATTTAGATGGCTTCCAACAACGAATTTTGCTTTATTTAGAGCATCTCCAACCGAGAACGTGATTTTTCACGGAAAAATACAACAAAACTCCAAAATGCCGTAATTATGCTCCAATCGAACTTTATTTTAGGTGTTTCTGCGAAGGTAACGATCATTCTCCCCTTTCGCTCATTTTTTCGTCAAATCCAGTCGAGAGAGCAAAATAGCGTGGGTGAACAATGCAACGCCAATATTGACTTCGCATTGTTCACCCGCAAGTAAATGACGGAAGATTTAACGTTCAACTGGAGCGACTGAACAACGCCATACGCACGTTTAACGTTCGGTTGGAGATGCCCTTAGAGATGATTTTGGTGGCATTTTTAGTGTCTTCTTTATTTTGCCTTTGTTCTGCATCATCTTCTCTTTCCTCACTCATTTATGATTTATCCCTTTTTATGGTGATTTTTAGTGAGTTGGATATCAATGGAGAAGGAAGAACTTACATTGAGTTATATGAATTCATGCAGCTTTGGCTTACCCCTCTTCAGTCTGTTTTTGTTTTCTCATTATTTTGCCACAATTAAATTTAATTATTTTTAAAACTTTTTTATGATAAAAATTTACTTTTGAAAACCAAATCTATTAATATATTATAGTCATAAAAAAAGATGTTACCCGTTTTCTTTTAAATTATTTATAATAAACGTATCAACTTTTAAAAAATTAAGATTTTGATTGAAATAATTTTTTTACTATTTTCTAAAATAAATTTTTAGTATTACGCCGAAAAAAAAACAAAAAAAATCTCTTGACCTGTTATAGCCTGACTTCTATGGCTCTTTCTATAAGTTGAAGATGGAGTTAAGCGACTTATGAACAGACAGACTGTTAGGCTTTCATTAATACCGACAGACTTTTAGGCTTTCTCTAAGATAATTATATTTTTCTTTTCGGATGTGCTTAAATTAATAACCTATTGCTGCAATACCAACTGAAAATCAAGGCGCAATATCCTCGTCGGGCGGCGGATTGCCCTTTCTGTAGTAGTCGTTCAAGGCTTCAAGCTATCCATTTCCGTCGTCTTCTTTTCTAGGAGGAGAATGGATACCCTCTCGCTGTTTAAATTCGACAGTCCTTTCCCTGTTGTGCACGTCAAATGCAATCACTCCATCCCCTCAACTCTGCAAAGAAATTACCGCTTCTTCGATGGTAAGTCCTTGGGTTTAAACGATTTTTTCTTTTCTTTTGGGGACCGTGGTCTCTTATTGCCGTCGTTCTAGGGTTTTCAAGATACCGATTCGCACATAAGCTTGAACTTCGTGGTCGGAGCCGCTCATTTCACTTTAAAAGCCTTGAGAAGACTCAAAGGAGTGTTATCGTTAGGTCGCAAATCGCAACGGCAAGCTCTTCTAGTGATGACAGGCCCTCTCTGGAAGGTTCTCCCTCAATTTCCTCAAATGAATCTTTAAAAAGATCTCATCTTTTTCACCCTTTACTCCCCCCCCCCACTTTTCTTGTTTTCTCAGGTGTTCATTTGGGTTCGAGGGTCCGTGGGATTTGCTTTTACGCCGTCACTGCGATGACCGCGATCCCTCTCTTTGCGGTAATGTTGCTGGTACACCCATTTGTAATGATCTTGGATCGGCACAAGAGAAGACTTCATCACTTGATTGCGAAGATTTGGGCGATCTTTACTATCTCTCCTTTCTATAGGTTCGAGTTTGAGGGTTTAGATAATTTACCTCCCGGTGATGCTCCTGCCGTTTATGTTTCCAATCACCAGAGCTTCTTGGATACATACACCCTTCTTACGCTTGGAAGGAGCTTTAAGTTCATTAGCAAGACGAGTATTTTTGTTATTCCAATAATAGGATGGGCAATGTTCCTTATGGGTCTCATTCCTCTTCGGCGTATGGACAGCAGGAGTCAACTGGTATTGTTTTATTTTTCAATCTCTTTTTGGCATTTAATTTTAATTCTTGAAACAGATTTTGTGGATAATAAAGTTAAAGGCTTTTGAATTTTTTTCTAGATTATGATACTTTCATAATCTAGAAAAAAATTCAAAAGCCTTTAACTTTATTAAGATTAATTTGTGTTTTCTGTTGGCTTTTGATCAATTTAGTTTCCCCCTATGATGATTTTTTATTCTCAAAGACTTTGAATTTCACCTTTTTCCAGGAATGTCTTAAACGCTGTATGGACTGTGTGAGGAAAGGAGCATCTGTGTTTTTCTTTCCTGAGGGTACTCGGAGTAAGGATGGCAAACTAGGTGCATTTAAGGTGGGAAAGTTAACTAGATGGAGATGAATACTTCGATATGCTTCTATTTTTTAAATAGTTTGTGACCCTGCTATGTAATGATCCTTTTTTTTTTTTTTTTGAAATGTTGTAGAAAGGAGCCTTCGCTGTTGCTGTCAAAACTGAAGCACCTGTTGTGCCCATTACCCTTTTGGGAACTAGAAAGCTGATGCCTGCAGGAATGGAATGTATTTTAAATTCAGGATCAGTGAAAGTTGTAATACATAAACCTTTAAGAGGAAAAAACGCAGAAGTACTATGTAATGAATCTAGGAGTGTTATAGCTGATACACTCAATAGTCATGATTATGGAACACACTACTCTGATTAGTGGATCAATATCAACAAGCGGGCTTTGTCAGCTGGAACACTTGGGCAAAGGACTTTCTCATTATACGGTATTCATTTTGCCTACCCTGCTGTTATATATAGTCATGGCTTAGCTAATTCGGTCTAAAATAAATCGAGTATATATGGAAGAAATTGCTTCATTTGATGAGTTTAAGATCAAAACTCAACATTTCTTCTTTGGCTGACCACTACGTTGTCAAGGCTTTTAAAACTTTATAAAGTTCATATTGCTAGTATAAAATTTTATTTACTAATGGAGTAACTGTTAAAAACTAATTATTCATGAGAGAAAAAGTCTGGAAATTATTATTTTCTGAGGTTTAATTTAAAATTTTATTACTATTTTACTATGTGGCTTATCTTTAAAAGGGCTGTGGAAAGTGAAGCCAACACATACATGCCATTACATTTGTTGTGGTGCAAGTACATTTGAGATAAAGTGATGCCGTGTGCAACCCTGCTGCATTGCATAACCTATGACGCTCTATGACCCCCTCTTGAAATGTGCGGAGCACACCATAGAACTGCAATGTTTACAGTCAATGCAAATGGGGTTTATGTTTTTCTTATTTCTATTTAACCTCGAAGATCTTCTAAGCCTTAGATAATTAAAGTATATTCAATTTTATTTGGCTTCTTCGTTCAACTCTAGCTTATTTTTTGTTATCACTAATGTGTTTTTGTATCTCTAAGTTGCATGTTGAAGGATTGCCCAAATTCTTCAATATTTTTGTGTGCGTGTCAATTATGTTAAGGATCAAGTTTTATTTGAGGTCAAATATCCTTAAGAGATCTTGAAATATTTTAGTCCAAGTCAATGAATAGATGGTGGGTGAAGAATATAAATATTTTTGGGCATCAAAGATATCTTATACTCTAGTCCAATGCAATCATTATTAAGGGTCTTATATATCAAATTGTGAAATGGTGAGGAAAGCATGGCTGGTGCAGAAAGTTGAAGAGAGTAGTGTTTGTGCTAATTACGAGGGGTATTGTCATTTGAGATACTTTTACCATCATAATTCAAGTATTATATGTTCTCTTTAGTAAAACTTTTCAGCTTTAGGGGTATTTCCAAGTTGAACAATTTTATCCTATTTTTCCACATGATTAATTCATATCTATGATTCATCACTTATTTATCTTTCTGTAAAATAAACTATACATTACCATTTCTTTGTGGATGGAGTGTTGAGAAGTAAAACTTCATTTAGGGGACATGTTAATACTTAGGTGATTTGTAGCAAAGATTAAAATGATACCTCAAGAAATGATTATATGTGAAATACGAGCTGCACCTATTGGAAATAATTAGTGGAATATAGTTTTGGGTGTTTTGGGCATGCATAGCGGAGGAGGACAGTATTATTTACTAACTAGGTGGATATATGGAATGTACTAAAATTATACCAAGGAAAATGCTTTGACCCAACTCCAAAGTCAACTTGACTAGCTTTTATGAAAAAACAGACTTGAATTAGCTAGAGTTTACATATTATCTAATATTCTATAGGACAGACTTGAATTAGCTAGAGTTTACATATTATCTAATACTTGGTAGGATTGAATGCAGGAGAATAATTTATGAAACATGCCCCAAATAGTTGGACAAGGCTGAGGATGATGCTGACAGTTATGACAATTACTCTTGTTTGTTTGACTATCGCTTCATTTATTTATTTATTTATTTTTGTTTAGGCTATTCTTGCATAAGGTTTTTGCTTCATTTATTTATTTTTGTTTAGTCTATTCTTGCATAAGGTTTTTGCTTGAGTAGATCTAAAACTGAATATATGGAGTGTAATTCTAGTAGTAATAGGCATAGTGACAGGATTGTGATTTTGGGCGATCAAGTCATTAATAAGAGTATACGTTTTAGATATCTTAGATCTATTGTTCAGAGTGATGGTGAAATAGATGGAGATATTATCAGCAGAATTCAAGTTAGATGGTTGAAGTGGAGGAATGCATCGGGCTTGTTGTGTGATAGAAAAGTCCCCCTCAAACTTAAGGGAAAATTCTATAAGATGGTGGTGAGACCTACAATGCTTTATGGTGCTGAATGTTGGCCATTAAAAGAGAAGCATAATACTAAGTTAAATGTTGCAGAGATTAGGATGCTCAGGTAGATGAGTGGCTTTACCCTTAGAGATGAGATACAAAATGAGCATATACATGAAAAGGTTGGAGTAGCTCCAGTGGAAGATAAGATTAGAGAGAGTCGTAGAGGTATTAGATTTGACTTATGTTAAGAAAGGTAGAGGTATACCTAAAAAAGACTTGGTTAGAAAATATTAGAAATGACTTTTCTTTATTAGATTTAAAAGAGAATTTGACCCTTAACAGGACACAATGGAGAAAAAAGATTCATGTAGCCGACCCCACATAGTGGGACAAAGGCTTGAGGATGATGTTGTTGTTGTTGTATGCTATTCTTGCATATTTATTTTATGTTCAGCTCTCTTAAACAATTTTTGGTCACATAAAACGGCGGCCTTCCAATGACCTGGTTAGGAGCGTAGAGTTATTAGATTTGACCTATGTTAAGAGAGATAGAGGCAGACCTAAAAAGATTTGGTTAGAAAATATTATGAATGACATTTTTTTAATTAGATTTAAAATAAAATTTGACATTTAATATGACACAATGGAGAAAAAGGATTCATGTAGCCGACCCCACGTAGTGGGATAAAGGCTTGATGTTGTTGTTGTTGTTGTTGTTGTTGTCGTCGTCGTCGTCTTCTCTTAAACAAATGTGAATAACCTGTTGATAAGTTAATGTGATTCGTTTCTTGATACTTTTCAGGTATTATGCTAGGCAGTGGTTATGTAGAATGTGTATTAATGATTTGACTTTTATTGAAGCTTGCACTCCACTTAAACTTTGCATATTGCTTTGAACATTGCTCATTAACAACTTTGAAATGCAGTTTTCCTGAAAATGAGAATATGCTATATAATTCAAACGTATACAGACTAGAAAATTTAGCATGAAGCATGGCTTATAAAATGTAAATTTAGTGATTAAAACTTATGCTAAAGCACGGCATCTCCTTTTTATCATCTATTTTGTTTCTTATGGTAGCTGCCTTTTGTTTGAGTAAATCTTCATTATTCAATGAATATGTATTTCTATCAACTTGAGTTTGTGATGCTGTTTCGCTGGCTTAGGAGGGGCCGGCTACTATTCCTGAACCGGTCCCTTGTGGACCGGTTTGGGTTTACCACCGCCGGCCCAAGCGAGGAAAGAGAGGGGGGCCGGCCACTCCTTTGAGCCCCACACCTTGAGTAATGCTTGTTTGGAGGGAAAATTTTGAATTAGGGGTTGTTTAGGGAATTTGTAATTTTCCTTTGTCTTTAATTAATGGTTAATGTTAGAATTAGGGTTTCATCTTGAATTTGGAAGGGAATTTGGGATCTTCTTGGAGGCGTGGGCTCTAGTCTTTTTGGCTAGAGATTTTGGAGAGTTATTCTCTCTCAAGTTGAAGAATATTGTATCGTTACTGTTTTTTATTCATCTACTAGTGGAATGCAAGTTGTTTGCTTTGATTTTCCTCAGATTTTTCTTCAGTTTTCTCTGTTTTTCCACTGGTTTGGCTGTTTTCCTTCTGTAAACAGCAGTCTCTTTGCTGTTGGTTCAGTTTGGTTGCGAACTTAAGTATTACCTTAGGGTTACTTGCGAACTCAAGTATTTCCTATCATATGCCACTTTTTTTTTTTTTTTAGAGTTGGCACCCATAAAATACATAATACAGCATTCGATTGTGCTGTGGTCTTTGGATCAATTGGCCAAATTTACATGAGAGGACATCCATTTTGATGCCATAGGAGTTCTCTTAGTCCAATGAAATCTCCATTATTAGTGAATTTTCTTTTGATGCTGATCAAAAAGAGCAAAAATGAATTCCCCATCACTCAAATCATGGTGTAGTTATGTAACAATATGTTCTTGGCGTTTAATCATGCATTACACCGAGTGACTTAGAGGCTTCCAATTCTACTATTGGTTTCATTTCTTAGAGAATTTTTAAAATACATGGCTGGATTATTTTAGTTTATGGTAGGAGAGATGTAGGGGAAGCATAACAAATAATTAGATCATAAACTACAAAAGAGAAAAAAAAAACACAAAAAAACCCTCACAAAAGGGCAACTCTTGGCCACCAATCCCAAAGAGAAAGAAATTGTTGATAATATTTTGACAGTTACACTAACAAGATAAAATTGTGAAACTCTTAGGTCAAAACGGACAATATTTTGATAGTTAAGAATTTGGATTGTTACAATATTTGCCTACCATGATCACATTGAAAGTTATGATAACAACATTCATTGAAATAAATGGACATCCATCTTTTGAAAAAGGGATCCAACAAGGCATCCAAAATGACCTTAGTTTCAAGTAGGGGTGTCAATTCGGGTCAACGGGTTGGGTTAGGGTCGAACTTGGAACTGACCTGGCACTATTCGGGTCAACCCGAACCCGACCCGTTTTTAAAAACGGGTCATGTTTCTGGATCTGAACCCAACCGACACGAATGACCCGGGATTGACCCAAAATTGCTAGTTTTCAGGTCAAAAATCGGGTCAATCTTAGGTTTTCGGGTCAAAACGGGTCAATCTCGGGTTTTCGGGTCAAAAATGAGTTTTCGTGTCAATTTCAGGTCAGCCCGAACCCGACCCGATTTTTAAAACGGGTTGATTTGTTGAACCCGATCCGTTTCGGGTTCGGGTTGACCCGAACCAGGATTTGTCCGGGTCGGATTCGGGTCGTGTTTCGGGTTGTGTCAAAAATTGACACCCCTAACAAATCAGATCAATATGATATTCCAGGATCAATCACCTAGACTCCTACAGTCCAGAATACGGCTGCACAGTGAAAGTTAATGTCGATACTTAATAACAGCTGCATTATAACAATTGTTAGTGTACATATGCCATCGTCGGCCTGTTCAAATCTCTTAAATAAGTGATAGATTTTACTGCCGAGGAAAGCAGGATTCTCTATGGTGAGATTTGTAGACTTGTAGTTATAGACTTCTCCACTCTATACAAAAACAAAT